GCTATCTTACAACATAAGCACAATCACATTATACACATTTACTGCAGCATTTAATAACTGTAAAAACGTAAATACTTAATACCGGAAAATAAAGGCACAGATAAATGACTTTCCTCCTGCTCATATTTTGAATATTGCGTCCTTTCGCTTCTACTGTTGTAGGTATCCCCACCGGGGGTACTTTTATCCCTAGGGATATTAGTGTGGGGATACACAAAACACGGGGACACTCATATCACTAGTAGTAAGTAGTAGTAAAAACTTTATTTACCCACGCTAACCATGTCAACCGAAGCTGATTTCCACAGGGGGTATCACTGTGACAGCGGTATATATTATTAGCTTATCGCAGGCGCAATAATTTATGTTCATCTTTGACATTAATTTATGTTACACGATGATACTCCGAAGGGCGACTTGGGGTTAGTCGCATTCATTCAGCGCTCTCATCTTTTAAATTTGATTGACTAAGGCCAAATAAAAAAAAATACTTGGTTAGCGTCACCGCCCGCCTCTCGATTTTCTGCCGCCTCTGAATTATTTGGAATTTTTTTTATGTAAATCTCTTCGTTTTACAGCTTAAAACAGTTTAATATTTGAAATTTTTCTCATGCTCAGACCTTCGCGCTACATACTGATCGATAGGAGCGCGTAGGCTTGGGTATACAAGGTTCTTAAAGCAAAATGGCGGCCTTCGCAACATCAGTACAAAAAATATCACCGATATGGTGGAAAAAACCGCCCCTCATCCCCTCCAAAAATACTATTAAAAAATTTAAAAACGAGTAAAAATTAAAAAAAAAATCCGCCCGCCCGCCTCTGAAAATTTGTGAGAGTGTGACGCTAACCAAGTATTTTTTTTTTATTTGGCCTAATATACTGCCAGAAAATTTTACATAATTTTAGTTGGTTCCCAACTAAAGATAAAAATATTTTAGCTCTATGGTCTGAGTGTTGATTTACTTGATTATTTGCAGAAAACCTTCAATGTTCTCTTGCGGTCCAAGAAAGTAAAATATTCTTCATCCCTGCATATGTTGGCAAACTAAATTCTCCCCCCCCCCCGGTCCGCCACATATATATCAAAACTAAAAATACCTTGTGTTCAGGTTGGAATCATCGGGACTCCATCCAGCCATAATTTCTTCATCATAAATATATCTTTCACATTGCTTACATTGATTACAGCTACAGATCAACGCTTCGAATGACACGTCACGAGGGACCATACCACAATGGCTTCGCCAGTCAACATAGTCGATACCCGAAGTTGTATTCTAGGAAACAAAATCACTAAAATTCTAAAACTTGACCCACCCAGCTTCCTCCGCAGGCAACGCCTTTAGATTGGCGGGCAGAATTTGATTGCGGGCAAAAAAGAGCTTTGATTTCTCAGCGAGATTTTACTCCACGCCCAACAAAAAAGTAAGGCAAATAGCTAAGATATCAGTCTATGCTCATGCAAAAATTCATGGCAGTAGATTGAATACTTTCAGAATGGCAACATTTCTGCTTTTTG